CACCATCACCACCACCACCATCACCACCACCACCACCACTACTACTTACGTAGTGGAGGGGAGAGAAAAGAATGTGAGTGCTTATACTTCCTGGACTCTTAACAAATAGATGTTCTTGGGAATCCTCCCTTAAAATTGAGTACTCTAGAGGGTCAGCAAAGGAGAGGAGCCCCTCAATGTGAGGGGCTTACACAGTGACTGCAGCAGGGGGCTCAGGTGTGTCAGACGGTGAGGGGGAAGCAGCATAGGCCGCGGCTCGGCTCTGTTGTTCGTAAGGTCGCTGTGAGCCCTGCTCTCTGCAGCCCCCAAGGACAACTCTTTCATGAAAGACACTGTCATCTAGAGGATTTAGGCAGAGACACGAGCTGCACACCTCGAGCACACCTCGAGCTCCGTGGTGGCCCGCGAGCCTCACGCGCCCCTCTCTGTGCCCCTCTGTCCACAGCCTACTTCAGAAGTGCTGGCCACCCTCATCTTGAAGTGGTGCCTTTGACTGGCCTAGCACTGCAGTTGGACCAGGACCAAGATGTCACCTCCTTTGCCACCTTGGAGCCCAAGCAGCGGAATCTCAGAGACACCACGGAGTTGGGAACGCCCAGTTACGGCCCTGACCACTGGCTGTCGGTCCTTCTGGAACTGGACACAAGACTGCTTGTGACGAGAGGGGCAGAGGACGGCATCACACCGTGGGCAGTGGGCCAGTGGTTCAGCTTTCTTAACTCCAGCTCATGCCACCCCGTCCCTCCCGTGCACAGGATGCCGGCCAGCTCTGTGCTTCCCCTCCCAGGAGCTGAGAAGCAGGCTGGGGATGGTGGACAGTTCAGTGGGGGCCTTGGCTCACGGGCATCCCTTAACTAGTGCTCCCAGCAGCCCATGCTCTTTATTTAAAGTCCTCCCCCCAGTAAAGGATGACAGGCTTGGCCGCCCTGTGACGTGTGCCCACAGTGCTCTCTGTAATGGAAATGCTCTACGGAAGAGAATCTCTCCATGTACCGTCAGCCTCCTGTCACTGACCAGAAGACAGACATCCTGAAATTTATCCCCCACTTGGAGTCACTGCAGATAGAACTCCGTGTGTTTACTTTGAAAAATGGACTATTTGGAGGGGGAGAAAAAGTCTAGAACATTCGGTGTGTGTGGTCATCACCCGCCCTCCCTGCTCTGTGCATGGACAGGACCTAGAATCTGTCTGGCTCTTGCGAGAGGCTTAGCACCAGAAGGTTCTCCCTCTCATGGGGACCTTGAGGGAGGAGGGACCCTGGTGCGTTTAAAGAAGCCCCCCATTTTCAGTCCACATCAGTGTTCCACAAACACCAGTAGTATTGGGGTTCAGATAAGGTTACCATACAGAGAATCTGAATTTAAGGCTTTTGAAATGTAGACTGAGTACCGCCCTAGGGCTCAAACCTGCTTTCCCCCAAACTTCAGGGGACGCAAGTCTGCATCCGCTCATGGGAATGCGCCCTGGTTAAGGTCTTCATCTGGGCATGCGCGGTTCCTGTCCGTAGGCTGGGGGAGGAGGGGTCTCCATTTGAGCATCAGCTGTTGACCCCTAAGGTCGTGAAAGCTGCTTACCTTTTCCTCCCTCTGTCTTTATTTATGTTTTCTCAATCTTTCTCAAGCTATATATTGAAATTCCCAGCAAACAGGATGTTATTTCTCCCATCACCACCTCCAAATTCCATTGAGCTGATTCCTTAAAAAGAACTCTGTAGTGTGCCAAGGAAAACAAGGCTAATGTGTTAGGATTTTCGTGTCCAACTAGGGGTACATTCGGGCCACGTTGTTACCTATTAAAAGAGAAAAACGGGGGGATAATTCCATCTGGTCTTCAGCACTTGCCTAAAAAGATAGGGATATTGTTTTGCTTCTTAACAAGCAATAATAATTTTTCTTACTGCCTAGAAATTGAGATTGTCATGTTCCAATCTGTTGACGTAGAAGCAGGTAGTAATGAGTCAAGTGGACAGTTCTGTGTACAGAGCTTAATTTTCCATTAAGGGGAGACAGGGATGAGTTGTCCTCAGGTGGGCAGACTCGCAGGGAGGACACTTCAGTAAATAACCCCAAAATCTAGCTGGTGCGTTCCCCCTTTTCTGTGACTAGGGCTAATGCCTCTGATGTAAAGATTTTTTTTTTCTTTCTAATGTAATTTTTCTGCAAACCCTTTTTAAAAAAATTGTATTGGTTTGCATATAATTATTCAAATGCATTGGCAACAAATCCTTTTAAAAAGCTTCCAATACATGCCTTTTTTGGGGTGATTCTTCTTCAAAGATGGCTGTGGGCCCCGACCCTTCATCCTGTTTATACCCCCTGGTCCCCAGTTTCTTGGTCCTGTGGAGTCACCAGCCAGTCACTCCGAGGTCCCCGGGTTTTTATGTTTGCTGCTTGACCTCATGCTGTTTGCTTGAACTCACACTAGGCCAGATGGGATTCTCACACCCAGAAAGTCTTATTTGGGCGGAGGCAACCTTTCCCCGAATGTCCTTTCCCCTTGGTTATCAACACCCTTGTGGCTCTCAGGGTACCAGAACATTTCAAACGGGGTGGGTGGACTTGGGCGGAGGTTTCCACCTTGTCAGGGAGGCTTTCTCCTGCCCGCAGGGGAGGGCGGTCCGCTGCCCAGTGCTGCTGGGGTGAGGGGCCTCTTTCCGCCAGGTTGGTTCTTTTATTGACGCTAAAATAACGATTTTTAAGCACAGTTAGAGGCCCTGCTTTCCAGTTCCCTGTAGAGAACGCGTGCGGCGGTGATTTCGAGGCAGGCCGGTGAGGGTGGCCTTCGGTCTGCAGCAGCTGCCGGTCAGCGGTGCCTTCCCGGCTCTGGCCTGGGCTGTGGTGTGGAAGCTGCCAGAAGGCTGGGGGAGCGGACTTGGGGATGCTGCGCGCTGGGCCTGTGCCGGGCACCGCGGGTCCTCGGAGAGGACTTCAGGCCACTGTGTATGTCCCAGTAAATCTGCCTGTGGCTTTGTGACGCACCCATGCCCTCTGCCACTGTCCAGGCACCCACCCCAAGTCCCCGTGGGGCTGCGCCTGGAGGCCTGGCAGGGTCAGCGGGACCAGTTGACCGGGATGCTAAGGGACTGCTGTCCTTGAGTGCTGGCCCCCGTCTGTCCACAGGGCAGACAGGGTGGGTACGGGGCTGGGGGCTGGGCCGAGGTCGGGTCACTGGGCGGGGCGCAGTGACGCGCGCCCATCACCCCAGGACACGCCAGCCCGGCCCATGCGGCGAGCCGGCCAGGGCACGGGATCCGGGGCGCGGGAGGCCCAGCAAGGGACCCGGCGCGCCCCCTCCGAGCTCCGAGTGGCTCGAGGCCCTGGCGCCCCCAGGAGCCTATCCCCCAACTCAGCCTCTGATGCCTTCGCCCTGCGGGTGCGGCTGGAGGAAACTGGGGAGCTCTTCCACGTGACCAACTGCCGCAGTGACATGACGGTGCGCGAGCTCAAAGAGGAGCTGGACCTCGTGGCTGGCATCCCCTTCAACCTGCAGCGGCTCCAGTACCTGGACCAAGGTGACCCCTGCCCTGCCATCCCTCCTCCCACCCAGAGCGGCAGCCCTGGTCTCAGCCCCAAGTCCCAAGAGGAAGCCTGCTTCTGGAGCACCCCTAAGTCCTTTTGGTCAGGACTCAGTTCTCCAAACAAATGCACAAGCCCAGGGCCCCATCCACCCGGGTCCCTTGTACCCTTTAGACCTCAAATCTCAAGGCAGACCCTGATCTCAAGGCCATCTGTCCATCAGAGCCATTTCTCCCCCTGCAAATACACCTGGGACAGAGTCCCCTGAACCCCAGACCCCAAGCCCAATGTCTTCCTTGGGAACCCCAAGTCTTCAACCCCATGTTCGCATTGAACTGCAAAGCCAGGAATACAGCCTATCCTTAGCCAGACCTGGAAGCCCAGGACAAACTTGTCCACTAGAATTTCAAACTCAAAAGATAACCCCAAAGCCCCAGATAAACACAGTATGCCCCAAACCCTCTAGCACCTTTATCCACACAAGAATGCCAAAACCGGGGCCAGGCCTGCCCACCCCAGGACCACAGACTCAGAGCACACGTGTCCCCACACAGAACCCCTAGTTTAGCTGACCACAACTCCTTTGAACAAGGACAATAAAATCTGAAACAAACTCTGCCCACCTCAGGACCCCCAACTCCTGAATCCCAAATCTCTAATGTGACCATGGATCTTTTTGAACCTCAAATTCTCTACCACCTTTGTCCACACAAGGACACCAAACCTAAAACAAACTGCTGGCCTCAGGACCTCCAACCCAGCCTCAAATGGAACTCCAAATCTCCTAGCTGACCACGACTTTCTCTGAACTCCAGATCCTCCACTATCTTTGTCCACACAAGGATGCCAAGACCAACTGTGTCCACCTCAGGACCCCCAGTCCATGCCACAGCACACCTACCCAGACTGAAGCCTGACCATAATAACTCCCTCTGAATCCCATCTCCTCCACCACTGTTGTCCATGGAAGGATGACAAAGCCAAGATAAACCTTGCCTTTTACGACCCCCGCACCCCACACATTTACCCCATTTGGAACCCCAAATCTCCTAATGACCATGCCTCCCTCTGAATGCCAATGCCTACTCCATCTTTGTCCACACAAGGATAACAGACTGAGACAAACTCCATCTTGAAACTGTAAACCTACAATATCCCTGCCCCAGACCAAACCCCAGGTCTCCAAACTGACCAAGACTCCCTCTGAACCCTGAATCCTTCAGCAAACTTGCTCATATAAGGACCCCAGTATTTAATTACTGCCCTATCTAAACAAAGAACAGATCTGGGGAAATATGAACCCCAAACCTTCAGGCTAACCAAATAGATACTAGAACCCTAGCCCTTCCAGCACACGGGTCCAAGTGAGGGCATCAGAGTCCACTCTAAGTAAACTTTGTTCATTTCAGAACCTCAAATTCCAAGCTACCCTTGGCTAAAACCTAAACGCCAGAGTTGAATCTAGACTCAAAATTCCAGGGCAGTTGTGATTAATCCTGAGCCCCAGTCTCCAAATTATTTGGGCACCAGAATCTCACCTGCTAACTCCATCCGTTTATGAATGCCAGCATCCAAAATGGACCTAGCCCACATCCAGAACCCCAAACCCACACGTCTAGACCCCCAAACCCAATGTGAACTCTTCCACATCTGAAAGCTGGTGTCCCAAGCTCATAACCATACCAGAACCCCAACCCCAAAGCATAGCGGCTTCCTAGGTAAACCCTGCCATCATCCAGACCCCATTACATGTGAACCAACCCAGGCCTGAACCCCATATCCTCACCCAAGCCCTGTCTATATCAGCCCACCAGAGTTAGGGCCAACAATTCCCATGATAGGAAACCAAAGTTCAGAAGTAACCTTGCCTCATTTGGCACCCCCAGACTCAAAGTAAACTGCTCATATTTGGAACCCAAATTCCCACATTGGAATCTCAAATACCAGCCTCCCTAGATCAGAATTCCAAATCTCAGAGAATCCTATTGCTATTAGGACCCCCAGGTTCCTGGGAGACAGGCAGACTTAGCCTATTCTTGCCCTCCAATGGCCAGATTGAATCTGCTTCAGAACCCCACATCCCTGGACAAGCTGTCCCACGAAAGGGCTCCAAATCCCAGAGCAAATCCTTCCCACATCATTACCCCCAAACCCAAAGCAAACCTTGCCTTTATGAGAACCCCAAGTCCGGAGCAAATTCTGCCCTCATCAGCACCCCAAATCTCACAGCAAACTCTATCCACATCTGATCCTCAAATGTTGGCGTGAATCCAGTTGGTATCAGCGCCCAGAGTCCCCAGCTGTGTCCTTGTCTACATCAAGGAGCTCAAAAGCCAGCCCAGCTCAAATCAGAACTCAGCACCCTGTACTCCTGTGGCTATTTCAGGACCCCCAGATCTCTCTATCCAGACAAACCCCACGTGATATCTGCCCACTGAGGTTCAGGACCTTAGAACCCTTCTCTCCTTCCATCCGGCCGATGGCAGTCCCTGTCCCCAATCTCTACAATGTTTAGGATATGAGAACAGGCTCAGAGCCCCTGGGTTCCACCATCTCCCCACCAGGTTCCACCATCTCCCCACCATGTTGAAATCAACACAAAATACTTCAAGAAAACGAGGATATGGAAAATTAAAAAAAAATGTCTCTGGGCTGCTGCACAGAGAATATGAACAGTGATATTGCAGACTGCAGTGGTACTGCAGGGCAGGGAGGATGGAGACAGCCTGTCTCCACACCCAGCTCTCTCCCAGACCGCTGTGTGGGGCTTAGTCTCCCGCTCTGGAGAAGCACCCTTTGCAGAAGGGCCCCTTTGTCCTCATTTCCCCCAGAGGCAAGAATCACGTAGGAAACGCAGAGACGTAAGGTGGAGGCCACCTCTTGCTCTCCTTGAAACGGACAGAGTATTTTTACCAAGATGTTTGCTTTTCTATCTAAGGCTTTGAGAGATGCATCTTTGGCATCTTTGAGGCTTTGTTTGCTGAGGGACGTCTGTCTGTTTGTCCATAAACAATGCTAAGAATGAAATGAATTATTGGAGGACTTGGTAAGAGTATCAGGACCCAAGTAATCTGAAAACGATGCTGCAAATGTCTGACACCCCCCCTGTTGGTTAATTTACGGGGATGAGCTGTGCAGAGCTATAAATTCAGGAGAACTAGAGAGGGAGTGAAGGGAGATGAGGTGACTTCATGCTGAGGTCGCAGCCCCAGCACGCAGCAAGCACTTAGGCACTGGGAAATTTGACCCTTCCTGTTGGTGGCCATTCCACGGACAAAGGTGCTGGCCAGCTCTTTGGAGAAATGTGGGCTGCTGTCTGTAAGGGGCCAGCCAGCTTCCACCACTCCCTCCCCTGTAGGTGGTTGGAAGAACCAAATGAGATCATGAGTGCGTAACCCAGAACCACAAATCTAAAAGTGGTGAGCCTGCTCCTCCGCAGGGTCAACGTCCACCTCATTGTCCTCGCGGGTGGTTTATTTAGCTGGTGGTAATTAGTACTTGTTAAAGCCGGAGGCAGAGGCTGCCTGAGTGATGGAGAGAGAGTGGGTACCGGTTCTGCAGAGCCCATCGGGGTGTGTGGTTAACCCTGCTGCTTCGTGATGATGTGGAGCTTTCCTCAGTGTTTGGAGTGATCATGGAGTGAGAGTGTCTTCCCACACTAACTTCTGGTTGTCCTTCATCTCAGGACCACAGACAGGACCCTCAAGAGATGATTTGCTAAGGAGTATTCCCTGTCTAAGGAGCCCCGGCAACACCGTGGTTAAGCACTTGACAATTGAAAGGTTGGCGGTTCAAACCCACCACCTCATGCAATATTATTCAAAATGGTTGACTCTGGAGAACATTATGCTGAGTGAAATATCCCAGTCACAAAAGGACAAATATTACATGATGCCACTGTTGTAGAATGGGACTGTCCTTGGGGTTGGGGAGAGACTGAGTAAGATGGGTTCAATAATGTGTACTGCACTGAAACAGAGGAGGGAGAGAACCGTCTAAAAGAGAGATGTAACTGGGTATTTCTGTCATCACAGGAGACTAGAGCGAGGGCTGCATGGTGGAGGGGACCTGGGGGAGTGTTTGTAAAACAATGAAAGAATCTTTTCTTTTACTTTTCCATAATTTTTGGACTCATGTACTTATAACTTGTTAGTCAAATTTGTGTCTTCTAGGTTGCAACACCCCCATGATACATCTTGAAGGATATGAACATGTACGGCCAAGCACAATCAATAAGAGTGCATCTGAATTCCAAAATCAATCTCCATAATAGTCTATGTGTTTCCTACTGCCAAAGGGGCCCTTTAGAGTAGTGAGAGAAGATCTTCACCGTGAAACCCACAGCGTCCCTTTTCAGCAGGAAGTAGCTAAGAGAATACGCCGTCCCCTTTTCCTTATGACTCAGGGTGAAGTCTCTCTCAGGGAGGAGTGATAGGGAATGGCAAAGGATACACTGACAAAGAAGATTAATCAGAACTGGCTTTGACAAGCACTGTGGCATTTGGACAAGAACAAACTGGGAGGAGGGTAGAGAGAATAGTGCAACAATGAATGAGTGGAAGCCCAAAATCTCTGTAAATGTTTATGAAAATTAATAAAATATAATTATAGAAAAAATTTAAAAAAAAACAAACAAGAAAAAAAAAAACCAAAAACAAACCCACCACCTCCTCCCTAGTTGCTTATGGCAGTCCGTGCCCATAGCGGCCTCAGACGTCCTGTGGGGCAGCTCTGTCCAGTATGGCGGGTATGCATTGGAATTGACCCAATGGCAGTGAGTTTTGGACATTCTCTGTCTACATTTGAGAGATTTATTTACAGTCGCAGAAATCCAACAGAGGCTCAGCTTTAAGTAGGTTCCAACTCAATGGAGGTTTTTCTTCCCTACATTTACCTTCTGAGCTCTGGTAACCCACTGGGGCTGAGAGCTGAGTGAGAAGAGAAAGCTGGCTAAAAGGAGGTCTGTCCAGGTGCAAGCCCAGCTCACTGGCTGTGAGGACCACTTCTTAGCTATGGGAGCCGTGGTCAGCTGTCTCACAGGGCTGTCACGAAGATTCAAGAATTCAGGCAAAACACTTAGTAGGAAGCACCAAAGTACCTAAAACAAGTATTAAAGTAATTAACACAGTTACCAACATGCTTGGCATAAAGTCGTCATTCTATCTTGAAAACAGGAAATGCAGGAATTCCATCAATTTGGGATCGTTCAACTTGGGCAAAGCTGAAACCTTAACCTAACAGAATTGTTATGAAAATCCCTTCCGCTATCTTTTTCTTTGTAATCAGGATGATAAGTGACCACGTAAGGACACGTATGTCTGCGTCTATTTAACAAGGGAAATCCAACACGACTTGACTTTCTTGAAGTGTTTCGCAATCCCCTTCCACGTATCCTGGGTGTTTGAAGATGTAAGCAGACCCATTATAGATCCAAGTAAAGATTTCCTTTCATGCCTTAGACAAAGGAATTGGAGCACCCCAAGTTCAAATGAAGGTGAAAGTCAACAGCATCTTCTTAACGGAGCCACAGATGCTCAACTGGATGGCTCCGCTAATGTCTGGACTTGCCTGGTAGTGGTGGCTGGGGAAGGAGTGCACTGGAATCTAGTGAGCGGAGACCAAGATGTGGTTGGATACCCCACAGTGGACAGGGCAGCCCAATCAACAAAAAAAATTGCCTGTTTCCAAATGTCAGCAATGTCAATGTTAGGAAAGGTGGAGAAGCCCACCATATGCTGTGATTTGAAGGAAATAACTCGTATCTGTCATTACTCTCCTTTCAGTCAGCTAGTAACAACCTTACCCAGAGTGAATGCTTTCCTTCAACATGGATAACTTACATAACGTGTTGTACCTGTAATGTATGGTTATTTCAAGTTTAAGTAGTTCTTTGAGGCTTTTGCCTCATAAAAGGATTTTACTGGCTCATGTAATTTTTCACAATAGGTGAATTTAGAACTACAGGATTTCAGAAATCATTGCCATTGGCGTTTCACAGGGGGAGGTGGGAGCTCAGCTTATATTTGAGCTTAGCCAAGTTAATTGTCTCAAAAGCATTAACAACAACTAGCGTACTTGAGAAAACTCATCAAATGGAATTGGTGTTCATGATTCTAAAAGGATCTTTGCAGTTTCCAAGGACAAATCATCTCTTAACCAGTGTAATAGTTTAATGTCTACTTTTTTAAAAAAAGGAAAAAATTCTTCCCCGTAGGAATTTTGATGGATGACGCCACGTTAAAGTTCCACGACGTTGTCCCCGGTGGAATCATCTCACTGTGTGTCTGGCACTACGACGGATGGACGGATCTGGTTTTGGCATCTGTGGAAGGAGACCCCAGTAAGGTGTCTTCATGTTTCTTAAATGAGTCTGAGGCTAAGTCACTTGTTTGTGCACGTGTGTGTGAGAGAAGCTTTGCTTGGTCTTTCACGTGAAGATCTGAGCAAACATGTCCCGGAGGAGGGGGGAGATAACAGGCCTGGTGTCATAGTTGGCAGATACTGGACCGAGAGGGTCCATTCAGTCTGCATTTTCACGGCTTGACTCTGATAGAGCCCAAGGGGACACTCTATCAACTTTCCAATTAGGGCTTTCACTCGTTCCTACGATGGGGCCCCCGTTTGGTATGCCAAGAAGCCTTCCTCGAAGAAGGCCCAAGGAGCCACCTCACCAGACGTTGAGGAGACGCCGGTCTGACTGTGTGGGGGTCCACCTCTCTTGCCCAGTTACCATCCCTAGGTATCACTGAAGATTCTTTCTACCGCACTGCAAATTCAGAGCGTTTAGAGGGTGTGGCGTGGAGCAAATGGACTTCCCAGAGAGCCTTTGTGGCGCTCTACGTTACTTCTCACAGAGGCCACGCGGATGCTGTGAAATTCCTTCTGGAACATGGTAATTGTCATCAACAACTTAGCATATTCGAGAGTGTGGAGTTAGTTGGGGGCAGTAGGGAGAGGGGCGTGGTTTTCTCCTCTGGCCAGTCATCAGTCATGGTCTCAAGCCAGAGCTCCTGGTGCAAGCACTTCTCTCGGGCCAGATCTCATTGAGATTCTTTCTGTCCCAGGGCAGTGGGAATTTTAGGATATTAAGCTACAAGGAGCAGTCAGAATGATGTCTTGGATCTTTTTGGTCCACTGCTGAGAATATGCCAATATTTCCAGCATCATTTCCAGCCCCAAATAGAGCTGAGGTCCTGTGATGGTCCACCAGGTAACTGCCCCAGACTGGCATTGCCCTGTTGGTGGCTGGTGCACTGGCCGGTCTCCCTTCTCTAAACATGTAATTATTTTCCTCTGGAGACATCCGCTCCAGACCTTCTCTTCACGTCTCTGCCCCTCAGAGGTAGCTTCTCTGTTAACGTACACCAGTGTTGTCTCCAGATGCAGAGCTCGGCCTAAGAGTCTCTGTAGGAATGCCCTTCGTCCTCCTTTGATGCTGGGCTGTTGTTTTGGGTGGGAAGATGCTCATTGAGGCCCAGGCTGTCTGAAAACAACCGCCGTGGTCACGTACTGCCCATCTCTTTGCTCGTCTGCGTGAAGGAATGCGGCATGTCATGGTATTGATCTCTGGTGGGAATCCGGAGGGCCTGGCCCTGACTGGTCTTCCAGATGAACACACTTCTTGGTTGGACCTCATTCTTTCCCTCTGGTGTGTGGCCTTGACCTCGCCAACCAAGGTGGGGAAAGTCTTGGAAGAAGGGTGAGGGGAGGAGGATGGTGCCGTGATTTGAGGGGACTGTCACATGCCGTGGCCGAAAGTTGCTCAACGCCCGCTTCCTCTTACTCTTTGTACCTCTGCTCGCCTTTATTGGAAGATGAAATACCACCTTCTCCAGCCCAGCAGTCCTTATAAAAGGTCACTTTCGCCCTGACAGTGCTGTGGTGCAGTTGGAAGCACCCATTTGAAAAAAAAGAAAAAAGATTACTGCCAGCTTTGTAAAGTTTTGTGTCCCCAGCAGATAACCCTGAGCGGGGGCCTGGTGAAAGCCTGTTTAGAACTCCTGCCGCAGCCACCAGCCGCAGCTCATGACAACTGTCTCACGAAATGTCAGCAGATTTAATTGAATTGCCTTGTTTTCTGTGTCATGGTCTCTGTTACCCAGACTTTTATTCAATTCAACAAGTCCGTATCGGACACCTGTCATTAGCCCGTTCACCTGCAGCAGGCGTCGAGGACTGGCCACAAGGCAGCAATGTCACCTGTCATTTGCCAGGCGCTGTCTGTCTGCCAGGCCTGGCGCCATGGGCTGCTGATGAAAACAACTCCTGGGTGGGCGAGGGGCAGCCAGTGAGTGACAGCAAAGATGCCCGCAGCCGGTGGTGGACAGGGAATTCTGATGGAATTGAGGAGTGACTGGACATCAGGGAGGCTCCTAGGGGGATGAGACTAAGGACCCAAGGAAGTGGATGAGATTCAGAGGGGAAGAGTTAGACCAGAAAATAAGGTAGCAAGGGAGAAGAGAGAGAGAACAGGAGAGGGGAGGGGAAGGGAGAGGAGGAGAGGAGAGAGAGAGAAAGAGACCGAGCAGACTTGGGGTGTGTGTGTGTGTGTTTGGAGAGAGAGAAGGAAAGGGGGAGGGAGAGGGAGAAAGAGAGGGAGAGAGGCAGAAACACAGAGACACTGACTAGAGAGACGCAGAGATATAGACAGACAGAGAAAGAGAAGGGACAAGATGCTAGTGAAGAGATAGTTGGTACAGAGATCCTGTTGCCGGACGAGGGAGCAGGAGCGTGGGAGGAGTGGATAGAGAGTCTGCATCCAGAGTGGGGCGTGGGAATTGTGCCTGGGGTGCGTGAGCAGTCTGAGCACTTTAGAAAATCTTCGTCCACTTCAGGGGCATCTGGTTAAAGGTGAGGCAGCCTCCCCCCATCACCCGAGGAGCAGGGGATCCCACTGCTTCCCAGTCGGTGTGACTCTTAGTGACCCTCTGGGACAGAGTGGAACTTCCCCGTAGGGGTCCCAAGGCAGTAACTCTTCACAGAACCCATCTTTCTCCTACAGAGAGGCTAGTGGGTTCGAACTGCTGATCTTTCTGATAGCAGCTGAACACTTAACCACTGTGCAACCAAGCCAGGGCTGGCTGGTTTTTCTTTTCGTTTTTCATGGTGAGAAGTTGCCTCTATAATGTGATGTTTGAGGCTTCAGTCGCGGGAAGTTGCCTCTATAATGTGATGTTTGAGGCTTCAGTCGCGGGAAGTTGCCTCTATAATGTGATGTTTGAGGCTTCAGCCGCGGGGAGCTTGGTGGTGGTTATGTGTTGAGTGCTTTCCACCGTGGCTCTTACTTGTGCCCATGTCATGCCCCCACCCTATTAAAGGGCTCAGAACTCACAACTTACTGCCAAGAGTCGATTCCGACCTTGGGGACCCTCCTTCGGCTTTTGAGACTGTAAACCTTGACGGGAGAAGACTGCCCATTGTCTCCCTCGGAGGGGCTGGTGGATTTGAACCACTGACGTTGAGTGTACCCTCCATGTTGAGTCCTTCTGATAGGAACGCACTTTTAATGGTCTCAGGAACTCCTTTCACACCCTCTTACCCCTCGGATTTTGATTCTGGAGGGAGCCTTATTTCTTCACTTTGAAATAACGTGTTCTTGTGACTTGAGTGAGAATTTACGGAGCACACGAGCTCTGCATTCAGTCATTCAGCACATTCTGGGTCATGGGGCTGATGACAGACCCCAGGGCAATGGCAGCCTCCCCCCCCCCCCCCCGAGAGTCTCATTTCCACCCATTTTCCTTCCCTGTTTCTTCGTGCCTTCTGCGCTCTCTCTGTGAGTAGATGCTGGCTGCTGCATCTCCTCTGGCCGTATTCCCTGCAGTTAGAGGAAAACAGCTCCGACGCTGTCTCAGCCCCTGTTCTTGCCTTCCAGGTGCCAACTGTCTGAGGAAGACCCCGGTGGGCAGGACACCCCTGCACGCAGCGGCAGCCACGGGCCACATGGACTGCATACACCTCCTCATCAACTATGGTGCCTCCATTAACACCAAGGACGCCAAGGGGGAGACCCCTGTCACCATCGCCCACCGCCTGAAGCACAGGCTGATTGAGCGCCAGATGTTCCTCACCTACTGGATGCCAGGTCGAGGGCCCAGGGCCAAGGCCAGGACAGAAGGGGGCCCAGGAAGGCCTTCTGGGGGACCTCATCTACATCGGGCTCCAAGAGGAAGTTCCAAATGTAGTCCCCGGGGTCACACTTGACCGCACATCAGCGTGGATGTGGGGATCTTTTCCAAGGTCACTGGCACCATGGCCTTGGCCATTAGCATTGCAGGAAAACAGGGCAGTTCATCAGAGTTAGATGCAAATGACCCACCCTGTTTGCTGAGGACTCCAGGGAGGCGGCGTGGAGCGGGTGGCTGTGGTCACTGGGGACCCATAACCAGCCCGCCCTCCTTTCTAGGCTGTTGCGTGTTGTACCCAGGACTGTGTTGGGGTGATGCTTCCACAGGTGTGAGAGGAGTGAGTAAAGGCAGTAATGTGACAGCACCATTGCTCCCGCACAGAGCTCACCAGGAGGCCGCGCCCTTCTGTTTGAACAGCCCAGGGCACCAAACTCCCCGTGGCTCACGATTCTCCAGAAGTTTCTGGGAGCCTTTGCTACTGGGTCTGCTTCTCACTGGAGAGGCAGACGCGAAGCCGTGGTGGGGACGTGGTGGAGCAGGGAGGATTTTCTTCTGCAAACACAATTCTCTAAGAGAGGCCCGGGACTATGTTTTCACAAAAATAACATGCTTGTGAGATTTTTGGCCGACCACACAAGCCTGTCTCATATTGATGTCCCGTGCACGCTCCGTGGGTGCACACAGTGACTTCTGAGGTTTACTAGACATGAAAATACCGTGCTTGTCGCATAAATGTTAGGAAAAAGAGACTGGTGTTAGATGTGGAGGATACAGGTTAAAGAGACGATACAGATTCTCGGAGGAGACAATCAAGCTGACCCCTTCCAGTTTTTGTCCCGTCTCCTCTGGCCTGAGGACCCCCTCCCCTTCGACATCTTTCTCACTTTCCTGTGAGGACCTGGGTGGCTTCCTTCTTTTTTGGTACCTGCAATGTCTATCTGACTCTAAGATCTTGGCATTACCACAGTGCTGCTGATACAATGGTCAATGGTTCAAAGCCACCATCGGCTCCTCAGGAGAAAGACGTGTCTTCTGTAAAGGTTGCAGCCTTGAAACCCTGGGATGGTTTTTCCTTCTAGGACTGCTGAGAGTCAGAATCAACTGATGGCAATGGGGACATAGTGTATCATCTCAAGGTCAGGGCCACGTGGGCCTGCCAGCCACATCGATGATGAGGAGAGCTGAGTGAGAGTTTAAGACGGGACATCAAGGGCCATGGCCAAAGCCAACTGGTGCACTGCCCTCGTTCGAAGGGATTCCTTTTTCTTTCTGCTACAGAAAGCTGGCTTTTTGTAGGATAACTCTCATCTTTTGAATGTTGTCTTAGATGTTTGGAGAAGGTGGGATAAAAGGGTTGGAAGATGTGTGGCCCACTCAGGGAGGTGCCTGTCCCCCTTAAACTCTTATTCCTTCCTCTGAGGAGGGGGACATGGAGCTGACTTCATGTGTGCAGAGCTGAACTTGGCTTCCAAGACCTCTCAGGACTGCCCCATTTCAGAAACAGAGTGCCAGGCCTCACTTGCAAGACACCTCTGGATGGGCTCGAACCATCAGCCTTTCTATTAACTCCTGGGACAAATGGTAGACACAACCCAAGACTCCCTGGAATATTCCACTACCCATCCTAGATCGATCCTGGATCAATCACCTGCCCTCCCAGTCGCTAAAGCCTCCCACAGCTTGTTGGGCTTCCAGGAATGGCCATGGCCTCTCATCTGTCGCACCACCGTTGGGAGCCCCAGAGTGTGGTGACCTCTCCCACCCTCTTTCTTTCCAAGTTGGGTCCCCATAACTGGTACTTGCTTTTAAGGTTTTGACCATGTTCCCTGCTGGCACAGTGAGCAAGAGCTGTGTTGTTGATGTTGTTTTACACTTAGTCGATGTGGCCGTGACCAGCTCAGCAAAATGTTTCACAAATAATATTTGGAGGCAGAAATAGCTTGGCGTCGCCTATGTCAAAGTGAGTCGCATTTTGGGCAGTTCTGCTCCAAAGGCAATAGGCAGATATTAAATGGCCCCACCAGGCAGGTCAATCCACCGGGCAGGCCAATCCACCGGGCAGGCCAATCCACCAAGCCGACCAGTCCACCAGGTGGGCCAATTCATTTAGCTAATGGGGTGTTCTGGGAGGGACTGGGCCCTGTGGTGACTTAACAAGTGGTGTTGCTCAAAATCAGACACTTGCCAGGAGTTTTGTTCTGCCGTCTATGCGGTTAGAAGAGCCAACTGCCTGACACTTGTCCCCAAAAGTTAGCTTGACTCCGTATGCCCCCAATTCAATTAAACATTGGCCAGACATCTGGGCTGATCAGGACCTCTGTGAGGCGATGCCTGGCTCACTTTCTCGTTGGGCTGTCTGAGCGCTCCTGCCGTTCACAAGGATCGGATTTTGGCCCTTTCCTGCAACCAGTTCATCTTATTAAAGCGCAGTGGGAAAAGCCAAATTCTACATCCCACTTTGGTGAGTAGCAACTGGGGTATTAAATGTGCGCAGGCAGTTGTCGAAGGTACCGCTTCACTGTTGATCTTTCCCCATCTGGAGCAAAGAAGAGCAAACAGAGGCATCAAACAGTGAGTCCAGAACGAACCACACAAGCCTCCGCATCTGTGACCCCTAGACCAGAGGAACTAGATCAGACCCTGCTGCCACTGAGGACACATCTGAAAGGGACCACAGTAGAAGGCACTGGACGGAGGGGGAGAAGTGGGAGACAAGACTGAAAAACACAAGAAAGACAGGCGTGCTGGTCTGAAGGACAGGTGGAACACCTGCCACTGTGACCTTGTCACCCTTCGAACTTGAAATGAAACTTGCCCAGGTTGCTCAACATGTAGCAAATTAGACCTCTAGTGTGATCAGTAACACTTTCTCCTTAAAACAACCCCCCAGTAATGTCAGAAGAGCAGCATTGACCTTGGGATAAAGCCCAAAAGGCAGGAAGGGGTAACATAGAAGGATTAGTGGAAAGGAGAATCACAGGAAGGGAGAAGAATGTTCTTACATTTCGGTGTTGTAACTAATGTATAATAAAACAAGTGTATACAAGTGACTGAGTGGAAAACCAATTAGCTTTGTAAACTTCAATTCACATCACAATAAAAACCCCCCTGAATAAAACATGTTTATATGGATGAAAAAATTGATTTGCAATTGCTCCTCACATATAAAGGTTGTTATGAACCACGGAGTTGGAACCAGCTCGTAACTGACCTTCCAGAGGATTTTCTGAGATAATAAATGACACAGGAGGAGCTGGCCCATCTTTCTCCTGTGGAGCAGTTGATGGATTTGAACAGTGCGCCTTAAGGTTTGCAGCCCAACTCCTTACAATTAGGCCACCAGAACTCCCTATGTACGTATATTACATGTATTTGGCTTTGGAGTTTGTCCTTTTTTCCATCTTTTGGAGGCGACGGTAAGACAGGTCTGGCCCCTGGAACTCTGCCCGGTGCTGCCCACCTGCTGGGCCTAAGGCAACGGGAATGGTGAAGCACTGAATGGGGAAGAATGGACCTTGATGGTAAGGGATCGCTGGCGACTCCTCTGGGTAGGGGGCCGGCCCCCTACTGGTTTATAAGATCCTGATCTCATCCTCTGACTCCCACAACCTCCTCTCAACCACCGAGGCAGAGGACCTCCCCCAGCCATGAAGAAAATGAAGGATCAGTGAGACTGAGTCTCTGGTTTGAATGAGGCCCCTGCTGTTCAAAGCCAGTATCTTGGGTAAAGATGGACAGGATACAGGGAGGGCAATGTGCAACAGTGAAGGAATGGAAATCAAAGTTCTTTATAAACTTTCATTAAATATCTATCTCTATCATCTATCTATCTATCTATGGACAGGATAACCGCAGAGGACAGAGGTACTTGGTCCTAGTGGTGGTTGGGGGTCTGGGTGGTGGGAGGCACCGAGTGTTGACTTGCTACTATCATCTAAGCATTTGGCAGGGAAGTGGCTAAACATGGGTGAAGACCAGGATGAAATTCTTGATATTTGGGAGAGATGAAAGTAGAACCATCTGGTACCTTCTCTGAGTTCTCATCACCAGCACGACCACACACACACACACACACACACACACACACCACACACACACACACACCCCGCTCCACTCAGCATCTCTGTGAAAGGCCATTGCATTTCCCTTGGGCTCTTTAGGCAGCCCCACCGAGGTCAACTTCTCCACATTCAGGAATATTTCTTCCTGGGTCACTCAGGAAACCCTCTCCCAGCCTGAAAACCAGGCCTTCAATAGAGAGGTGACACACTTTATGTATATGGTGATGGCCTTGTTGGCAGCTGGGTTTCTGTGTTCCCTTGGCTGCTAGAAAGCTCAGTGCCAAAGTTAGTGCCCTCCTGGCACAAACATGCTTGGGCATGTCATCGGGGGGCCAGTCCCAGGACAAGGATGTGACGCTGGGAGAGCAGAGGCTCAGTGAGGGAAAGGCAGGCCTTCAATGAGGTGGACCGACTCAGGGGCCACAGCGATAGGCTGCAGCACAGTGGAGATTGTGAGGATGGCACGGGCTGGGCAGGGCTTTGTGCTGCTGTTCACTGAGCGCTGGTGGCCTCATGGAAAGAAGCTGGACTGCAATCCCAAAAGCACAGGGTTCGAATCGACCAGCTGCTCTGTGGGAGGAGGATAGGCAATCTCCTCCCGTGATTGACTACCTCTGAAAACATACTAGAGAGTCAACTTTTCAACTTGATGGTACACGACAACAACAACAACAGGAAGTACACACAGCCTGCTCCCACCTCCTCTCCTCTTTTCTTCTGACCGAGCTTCAGTCTCTCTTTAAAACCAGCTGCCTCGTGTACATGCTTTATCATGAGTGGCCTCTGATGCTTTCAGGGAGTTCGTGTCACATTGATGAAAAAGAAGTTAATGCAAACTGTAGGTTTCGAGGGGTGATTCACACCTCTGGGGATTTTAGGGGCCACTGGGCGCTGCACTAAGTAACATGGAAAGTTACTTGCTTTTCAAATCTCTTGAAGTCCTTTTAACTAAGGACGAAAGGCTCGGCTGGGTGTTGGTTGATTTAAAGACCTCCCTACACTCACCAATCTCCCTTCTACAAATACACACAGCAGGCTCTCTGCACAGCAGTGTTTGCTAAGGTTTAATAACATTGTCTTGTGCTCAGTGTATTTGCAGGCCAGGAGTCTATTTTTTTCAGCAACCCTTACTGTCCTGTGGCTCTGAGACAAACTGCCGCCCCTAAGATTCCCACTTCTCTCTTCTGCCCCCTGGTTCCTATCCACCTCTCCGGGCTGAAACATGAAAGGGAAGGACAGATATAAAGCATGCTGCAAAGATGGGGTGACCCCACTATGCGCCAGGGAGAGTCTCAGCAGGTGGGGTGGTGGGCTCTGAGAATTCCAGGCCTCTGGTGAGTGGGGCTGGGCTAAGTCATGCCATCCACGGAGCCTCAGTTTCCCCGATTGCACACATGTAGTGGGCCTTGCATCAGGCCATGGTTGAGGGACTTGGATGACTGGCGCAGACGCTGAACAAAGGGCAGTTAGGATCCCCACTGTTGCCACCACCACTTCATTTACTTAAGATGTTTACCCACTGGAGGTCAATACCCAAGCTGGGCTTTAAACAAGTCCTATCCATTTTCAGGCAACCTCATGGAGTAAGAACCTCTTCCAAAAGTAATTCTCAACATGGGAGAGAAAAAATTTCCCAGCAACTTGGCTTAGGGTATTAAGCTGAGGGCTTTCTCAGCAACTTGTTTTGAACTTGAAACTCAAGGCTGGCCCTGTAGTAGAGAGAGAAAAGGAGAGAGAGGGGAAGAGAGAGAAGGGGAGGGGGGAGAGAGAGGATGAGGGAGAAGGGGGGGGAGAGAGAGAAGGGAAAGAGAGAGAGGGAAGGAGAGAGAAAGAGGGAGGGGAGGAAGAGAGAGGGGAAGAAAGAGGAAGAAGAGAGAGGGAGGGAAAGAGAGAAGAGAGAAATTGAGAGGGAGAGAAAGTCAGAGAGGGAGAGAGAGAGGGAGGGAGGGGGAAGAAGAGAGAGAGGAAAGGAAGAGAAGGAGAGGGAGGGAGGGAGAGGGGGAGGAGAGAAATTGAGAGGGAGAGAAAGTCAGAGAGGGAGAGAGAGAGGGAGGGAGGGGGAAGAAGAGAGAGAGGAAAGGAAGAGAAGGAGAGGGAGGGAGGGAGAGGGGGAGGAGAGAAATTGAGAGGGAGAGAAAGAGTCAGAGAGAGACAAGAAGGGAGGGGGGGCGAGAGAGAGGGAGAGAAACTGAGAAGGGAGAGAGAGGGAAGGGGAAGAAGAGAGAGATGGAGAAAGAGAGGAAAGGAAGAAAGAGGGAGGGAAAGAAGGAGGGAGAGAGGAGAGAGAAATTGAGAGGAAGAGAAAGTCAGAGAGATAGAGAAGGGAGAGGGAGAGAAGAGAGAAAGACAGAGGGAAAGGAGAGAGAGAGAAATTTGAGAGAGAGAGAGAGACAGAAAGAGGAGGGAGAGGAAGGAGGGAGAGAGAAAGAAGAGGAAGAGAAATTTGAGAGAGGGAGAGAGAGGAGGGAGAGGAAGGGGAGAGAGAGAGGCTTGGAGGAGGGAGAGAAAAGGGAGGGGGGAGGAAAACCCACCCAACAACAACAACAACAGGAAAAAAATCTGCGCAGAGGAAAATTCCAGGCACTCAGCTCAGCCTCCGCAGTGGCGCGGCGGAAGCTGCCAGCAGAGGGCACAGACAGCCATTAACATTTAGACGAACGCCACTGTTTGTGTTCCCGGAAAATGTCAGGGATGCTGCAGGCCATGCTGCGGCAAAACTCTGTCCCCACTATCGCCCCCAGTGTCTGTGAGTCTGTCACATTGTCTGGATGGGGCACGGGGCTCACATGGTGTGTTTTCTGGGGCAGGGGGCTGTCTTGACACATCTGGGGGGGCCCGATGGCCCCCCACCCCTGGCTCCCTCTGGGCTCAGAAAGCTGTCCCCCAACAAGGCTCGACCCTGGGGGGTCAGAGAAACAGAACCTGTGGTCAGTCAGGGTCACTCTGCAGCTGCGGTGGTGTTTAGTGACCTGTAGCCTGAGAAATGATCAATCCTGGGACAGCTGGAGTCGTGAATGCGTGGATGCAGCCCCTCACCCCTCCCAGGGTCCCTGTAGGGATGGATGTGACCATATGTTTACAAGGAGTTGCCCCCCCTCCCCAATCCACCCTGGGAGACAGAACCTGGTGAGACATGTCTGGGGACATCTGTGACAGCTGTTTATGTCCTCAACACCGGAAGTACCCCCAATGCCCACCAGCACAGACAGGTGATTAAAAACACCTGGCGATGGTGTGAAGGCTGAGACAGCCATGTGAGTGAAAATCAGCAAGTTGTTCCAAAGAAATAAAAAGAAAAAGATAAGAAAACCTTATCCAGGAGGAAAGGAGACAGACTGCAATATATGATCGCAGCTACTGACTTGAGTATGACAAGTGGTGTCAAAGGGGCACTGCCAACCCCAGCGTGGAGGTTCTGGAGGGGCAGCTGCGTGCACCCAGGTTATTAACACCCAGTGTCTTCCTGCTATTAAAAAATAATCCAATATGGAAAAGGGAAGGGGGGGAGCATATATGCTGGCTGTCT